TGGTCTGAACGACAGCACTGTGCGGGAGCTGGAGCCCATTCTAGATGAAATGCATGAAGAGAATGAAGCCAAAAAGCGTTGTGAGAACAAACGTCGTGATGGCGAGGCCACCGACGAAAACACAGAAAAGTCTCAGACTGGTGGGGCTGAGTCGTGTGATGAAAATGAGAGTGATGTGCTTCGAGCAGCAGAAAGCGTGGTCACATCGTTGAGATGGTGACAGATAAACCGCGAAAGCGTATAAGGTTTCATCGCACTGAGCGGTGTCCGACACCGGCTGCAGCTCTAATGGAGCGTGGTCTTGAGGGACAAGAGGAGGATGCCATGGCCAAAGTGCCAAAGGCTCACGTGGATGGTGATGTGGAGAGCATAGCAGCGCATACACAGCAACGTTCACTGGAGCAAGAGGCGCTGTAAGATGGGGAAAGCAAGTCTTGTCCAGTAACACGGAGTGGACGAGTATCCAAACCTCCGCGATGGCTTAGTGACAGTGTGCATCTGACCTATAAAAAGTCAACCAATGCTGATGACACTCGTGGGCTGAGAGTGGCCACAGGAACAGAGTGGAAGAAGGCTCGGGCTCAAAGGCAGTTAAAGATTGCGAAAGAGAGGGCAATGGATGTGTGGCAAGACTTTGTTTGTCTTACTGCTAGTGCTATGTTTGAGCCGATTAGCTATAAGGAAGCCGTGCAAAGTGATGAAGCCAAGCAGTGGAAAGATGCAATGGATGCCGAGTACGAGACCTTGCTGAAGAACGGCACTTGGAAGCTGGTGCGAAGAACTAAGGACATGAAGGTCCTGAAAAACCGTTGGGTATTTAGAGTGAAGTATTATGCAAACGGAGACATTGACAGGTTCAAGGCAAGGCTCGTCATCAAGTGCTTCATGCAGATTTATAGTATTGATTTCTTTGAAATTTACTCGCCTGTAGTGCGATTGGAAACTCTGCGCATCTTTCTCACGCTGGCAGCCATTGGAACTACGAGGTAGACCAGATGGACGTCACCACTGCCTCCCTGAACGGAGGCATCGACGTGACGGTTTTCATGGAGCAGCCCGAAGGCTATAAAGTGAAAGGAAAAGAGGATTTTGTGTGTGTTCAGATGAAAAGCCTCTACGGCTTGAATCAGGCTCCTCGAGTGTGGTTCAGACTGCTGAAGAATTTCCTAGAGAGCGAGGGCTACACGCTAATGAAGTGTGAGGCATGCGTGGCAGTGAAGGTTGTCGACGGGTGGTTCGCGTTCATCTCTATTTACGTTGACAGCCTGATACTCTTTGCGGCGACAAAAACCATGATAAAAGTCATGAAGATGCTTTTCAGACGCTTCGTGATAAAAGACTTGGGGCTGATTCATTACATTCTTGGCTGGGAGATTACACGCAACAGGCAAGAAACAACGATATTCATCAATCAAAAGAAATATGCCGA